CTCCCTGGCCCCCAGGGACACTCTGCAGGCTTCAGCAGGGCTGGGGAAAGGCAAAAATGCCCTGTTTTTGCGAAAAACAGGAGGAAAATGGGCCATTTTTTGCAAAAATGGGGACATTTTTTCATTCCCCCAGGCCTGCTGAAGCCTGCAGAGTGCTTTTGAGGAATAGGGGAAAGGCAAAAACTCCTCTATTTTTCTGAAAAATGTCCCATTCACAAAAATGTGTTGTGTGGGTAGGGTTTCGGGAGGCAAAAAAATGGCTATATTCGGTGTATAAGATGCACCAACATTTCCACGCTTTTTTTGGGGGGGGGGAGGTGCATCTTATACTCCGAAAAATACGGTATTTTAAACCATTAAATGGAATTATTGAATTGTCCCATGGCAAGTTGGCCAATGGCAAGTTGTCCCATTCCGTTCACTGAAGCCTTTCCCTGATGCAATCTAGCCAATCCAGGGTTCAAACTAGGGAACCACAGGTAGTCCTCAACTTATGGCTCCACTTGGGACTAGAAATCCCGTTGCTAGGGAAGGCTGCTGTTAAATGAGTTTCACCGATGTTACTGCCTTTTTTTCTGCCAAGCTTGTTAAGCAAATCACTGCCGTTGCTAAGTGAACCACATGGTTGTGAAGCAAGCCTTGCTTCCTCCATTGATTTTGCTTGTCGGAACTAGCAGAGGAGGTTTGCAAAGGCCAGTCATGTGACCCTGGAAGGTTTCAACCATCATAAATACATACCAGTTGCAAAAACGCCTGAATTTTAATCATCTGGCCAGAGGGGATACTGGGATGGTCAGAAGTGTGAGGATTGGTCATGAGTTCAATCCTCACACTTCTGTAATGTGTAATGTCACAATTTGTAATGCTGTTGTACCTGTAATACAAATACCACAGGTGTGAATCAGCCCAAAACAATAGTTTACCTCCACAAGTTGAACTTGTTTCTAGAAATAGTAATTTAAAAAATGTAAAGGTTTCCCTGTCAATCGTATCTGACTTTGGGGCACGATGCTCATCTCTGTTTCTTGGCCAAGGGAGCCATTGTTGTCCAAACACAATTTCTATGGTCGTGTGTTCAGCATGGCTATATGCCAAAGGCACATGGAATGCTGTTAGCTTCCCACCGAAGTGATACCTATTAATCTAATAGGTGGAGGCGAAAACCTATAAACAATGCTTGCTGGAATTGGGTAGGTCTAATTTAATGAAAAGAAGGACCAGGGGTGACACGATAGCACTGTTCCAATATCTCAGGGGCTGCCCCAAAGAAGAGGGAGTCAAGCTATTCTCCAAAGCACCAGAAGGCAGGACAAGAAGCAATGGGTGGAAACCAGGGGTGGGTTCCAGCTTCTTTTACTGCCGGTTTGCTCAGGGACACGCTATGCGTGCATGCAGAGTAGTAAAAAAATTGCTTCTGTGCATGCGCAGAAGCAAAAAAACAAGATGTTGCCGCCGATAGAACAGGTCCAGGTGCGTGGCCAAATTACTATCTACTCGGCTGAACCAAGGAACCCATCTCTGATGGAAACTAGTCAAAGAAAGAATCAACCTAGAACCAAGGAGAAATTTCCTGACACTGAGAACAATTAATCAGTGGAACTAAAGTTGTAGATTGGGTGTCGAACACAAGGCCCTCAGGCCGCATCTGGCCCATTTTGTGGTTCTGATCCAGCCTGTGGGGCCGTCCTGGAAAATGTAAGGGACTGGCCCGCATCGCTTCAGTCCGGTCTACCCAATGCGAAGACGAAACAACGAGCCAGCATGGCTTCGACCCGGTCTGCCCAAGGCGAAGAGGAGACATGCCAGCAGTTTGGGGAGTGGCCAAGTGAGTGACATCAAGAGGGCTGCGCCCACCCAGTTGGCCACATCTGCCCTGTCCCCCCAGAGGTCAACCACAGCCCTGATCTTGTGAAATTGAGTTTGACACCCCTGTTGTAGATGCTCCAACACTGGAAGTTTTAAAGAAGAGAGTGGGCAAACCATTTGTCTGAAATGGTACAGGGTTTCGTGCCTGAGCAGTGGGTTGGATTAGAAGACCTCCAAGGCCCCTTCCAACGCTGTTATTCTGCTCATCTACTTCCATTTGCGTGCTTTCAAACTGCGAGGCGGGCAGAAGCTGGGGCAAAGTCTCCCATCTGACAAGATCAGCATCTTTAACCACTGAGCCATTGCGCCCCCCTCTGCAATTATTTAGCATTAAAGTACTTATTGTTAAAGTGCTCAGTCCCATTATTTTAAATGTATATTGACTGGATAAAGAAAGAGTTGGAAATTAAATGTTGTGCTTTTACTCCCACCAAGCACTGACAGTATATTAAGAATAGAGCAAGTAATGTGTGCTCACAAACACACATGCTCTGTTAAATATGTGCTGTAATGAATGATCCGCTATTGATCTGCCCAGTGACTGCAACTCCATTAGCTATTACTCAAATACTGCAGGGAGAAGGTCAGCGGTAGAGTGCATTCTTTGTCGGATGATGTATGTTTCTATGCCTGGCACTGCAAGTATTTCTTTGGATAGACGCAGAGGCTCGATTGCCCTCAAAAGAATGCAAACCACGCAAACTTTCTGGACAATAAATTTCCTGCAAGATGTGGGTCTCATTTTGAACAAATATGTCTTAAGATTGGGTTTTGAAGCCAATCAAATTGATTTCTCATATGTACACAGACTGAAGAATTTTTATTTGGCATAATACAGAACGGAAGAAGATGGAAATGGAAGGCTGCAGACAGATATATGTAACATTTTTCTTCGGGAAAATACAGGAAGTCCTGACAGCAGCAGGACTCCCCTGCGGACAGAAATGGAAGGTCACCTCAAGTCCCACAGTGGAAGAAATGGCTGGTGGGGTTAGCAGAGATGGCTAAATTGACTGTTCTGATCAAAGAAAAAAATACAAACACTTTTATTTCTACTTGGAAACCACTTCTGGACTTTGTGCTTGAGGTGGACAAAAAAATGAAACTTTGATTTTGGGCTTTACCGATCAGACAGATTTGTTGTTATAGAAATGGCTAGTTTAAACTATTATGTAAAAGTAAAAACTTGAGGTTTGATGTCAATATCTTATTTTACTGCACCAAAGGGAGTCTGAAGTCAGTTCCTTTTCTTTCTTTTCCCCCTTTTCTTTCCCTCACTTTTCTCTTCCCTTTTTCTTTTCCTATTTTTCCTATTATTTACTTTTATATTTTCTGTGTATGCTACATTATAAACTAATAAAAAGTTCAACATGGGAAGGAAAATGCAGGTAGTCATTAACTTACAATAATTCATTTAGTAACGTTCAAAGTAAAACGGGAACTGAAAAAATGACTTATGACCATTTTTCACCCGTGTGACCATTGCAGCATCCCTATAGTCACATGATCAAGATTCAGAAGCTTTGCAACTGACTCATATTTATGACGGTTGCAGTGTCCTGGGGGTCATAAGAATCCCCTTTTCTGACCTTCTGACAATGGGGAAACCAGATTCATCTAACAACTGTGTTACTAACTTAACCACTGCAGTAATTCACTTAACAACCGTGGCAAGAAAGTTTGTTAAATGGGGGAAAGTTCACTTAATAGCTGTCTCACTTAGCAACAGAAGTTTTGGCCTCAAGTGCCTGCAGCATGTTTCGGCAGTTAGATTTAAAAGCATCCAAGCTTCCTTACGTTGCCAGCAGTTACATCACTCAAACACAGCCTAACTATGGAAATCTCCCTCTTCGTTGTTGCGTGTATTTTATTTTTAGCAGCATCCTTCTCGGCCTCTAAAATCTCACTAAAGATCTTCCGTCATTCTTGGGGTCTTGACATTGATTGGCGAACAGTGGTGTCATGTTTGCAAGTTGTGCTGATTGAACTGTTTCGCCTCACAGGGTCAAGCAGAAGAGAATTCAGAAAGATGATCCACCCCCATTTCTAATTTTATCTCCTGTTTTTGGTTTGCAGTGCCCCACAATCGCAGCCTGAGAGTGTGGCCGTGGCTCCTTCCAGCAGTGCAGAATCCGAAAGCACAAGTGACTCGGACAGTTCCTCCGATTCTGAATCCGAAAGCAGCTCTAGTGACAGCGAAGGAACAGATCCGCCAACAAGAGTCTCGACACCTGAGGTACAGCGTCCATTTTCTAAATGTGTCCTTTGCGTGGTCTGGATCGGTATTTATCAACCGTAGCAACTTTTAAGATGTATGGATTTCAGCTCCCAGAATTCTCCAGCCAGCCATGTTGGCTGAGGAATTCTGGGAGTTGGAGTCCGCACATGTTAATAGTTGTCACGTAGACCAGTGCTTTCTCAACCTTACTATCTTCAAGACATGTGGACTTCAACTCCCAGAATTCTCCAGCCAGCCATGCTGGCTGCGGAATTCTGGGAATTGAAGTCCACATCTCTTAAATTGTCACTGTTGAAAAACTGGGTCTAGATCAGTGTTTTCTCCACCTTACTATGTTCAAGATGCTGTCTGGGGAANGTGAAACGGTATATAAGTCTGCAGTGCTATTACTATTTCCTTGATTGATGTTGGTGAAAACCTAGATGTGTGTAACTGTTAGATAGTCTTTATTTATGGTCAAAAAGTAGTTTGGGTGCAATCAATATTCAGCACAAAAAATATTCTCACTTAATAGCCTAGCATCATCTATAAAGTATCAAGATTATAAATCAGCTATTCTGCTAAAACATATTTAACAGTCAATCATACACACAGTCTTATTGTAATGACTGATCTGATAAACGATTGTATAATGACTCTGTTTTACTATTAATTTGGTTAGAAGGGGTATTAATAGGTCTGAATGAGTGTCTGCATTTTAGCAGCAGTGCAGGAATTGGTGCATGGTTACATCTGTTTGTCTGTCTGCATGTAGATCAGTGAACTCTAACCTTGCTATATTTCTTTTCCAGAGACGTTGATGGTAAGACATTCATCAGGAGATGTGAAGCATAAGCAAGATTAAATAATAATGTAAAGATTCTTGGCTTGGCCTCCTCCCATCAAATTATTTTTGGTGGCTTATATCTTAACAACCACGACCTGAATATAATCTTAACCTTCTCAGAAACTGACTGGAAAATCTAAAATATTAAATGCTATTTTCAAGTTTTGTTCTTCCAAGAAAATATAATCATTCAGGATACTGGAGGTCAAAGATCAAGATAAAAATCTCTACTCAAGTCAATATTTTAAGCAACCCCACTCTACTGCAGAGGGCCATCACTCATTCCAAGCATAAACACACAATGGGAATACATCAGAGGGTCTGGAATATAAACATTTTAATGAATATTTTTCAGTGTTGGGAATCTTTATGGCTACCCACCTGAAAATTTTATATCATTTGACTGGTTTTCTTGGCCTTAACAACTTTAAGTGCCACCCGTATGTAATTGCTGTCCAGTAGACAGGAAACTTGGGACTTAACCTGGATACAGATTTGTGAGTGTGTGTGTGTGTGTCTGTTAACATTGCCTACATCCCATCCGTACGTGTTTGTTTCTTGAGAATATCATAACCTTTGCTTTGATATAAGGTATAAGGTCATCAGAAGCCAACATGTGGTAGACCCTATTTGAACAGACAATTGTCCTCGGACACCCTGATAGTATCTTGAGATATAAGAGTCGCTGTTACATGGAGGAATGTTTTAATCACCACGACCCGTGTATGGGAATTGAATCAATTATTGATTTAAGGTCTACAAATGCTGTATACAAGGCCTTCCAGGAAATGCTGGGGTACTTGTGACTTGCTCTTCTGCCAAAACATGAGTACATTCTAGGCACTCTAATAATTTCCAAACAGACGGCACAAAAAACTTTTAATCAGTCATACTCAGTCTTTTGTGTGTGTCTGTGTGTGTGTGTGTGTGTGTCGCCCACAGGGTTGGGGGAAGAGGTATACTTAAAAAGGACTGCCAGCTGGCAGGCTTAAATAAATAGATCTTATCTAGAAACTAATCTCTTGTGTTTTCACTTGGATTTGTTATCCATCACTTTGTTCTCTTGGCTCTTAAAAGCATTATTTGTTTGATAGCAAGCCCCCTGCCAGGGATCCACCCCCAAAGGGATCATATTTCCGCATTTTGAGAACAGCTCAATATACTGTATTCTTCAGTTTCTGTGGATAAATGGGGGGAAAAAAAGAAACATTAACACGCTGAGCACAATGTTGAAGTTATTGGAAGGAGCAAAGAACATTCTTATATTTTCAGAATTGAAAGCAAAACATCTTAGGGTGCTATTTTAATGATTTTGATTTTAACACAATTCAGCTCTGCGTTTTTGGAAGTTTCCCTGCATATGTCACATGTAGATTCTCATGATTTTTACAGGTAGCTTTGAAAGAGTTAAGAGTTTTAAGTGTCACATATTTAATTATTCATCACAGAGGAACTATTGAATTAATTCTCTTAATTAATTAGAACAAATTATTTTCTCATTTTAATGTATTAATTTGTTATGTTACATATCGTTAAATTGTTCTCGGCTCAATTTACCCATAGCCGTTCTCCAAATCTCAGTAAATGTAAACTAGACGTTAATACCACGTTTCTTTTTATGGCAAGCTTTAAGTGGTTTATTGTTGCGACCGACTTTGAGGATTTTGTTTTGCCTATCGGAATTGTTTCAATGCCTAGGAATATATCGCAGAATCATATTTATAGGAGCATATATTGTAGATTTTCTTTCATGGCATGGCTGTTTTCTGCATTAGGCAACACTGAGCGGAGCATGAGTCTCCTTCGCTTTCAAGAGGATGTGGTTGGGTTGGGTTTTTGTTTTGTTTTTTTGCAGCGCAAATCTGAAATTTGTGTTCCATAAAGAACATTTTCTGAAAAACTACTGTGTCCACCGTAATTTGCCTAGAACACTTTATTTACTAAACAGGGAAGTTTACAAAGGTAAAACTGTTCAATCTCGCCTGTGAAAATGGCCTACAAAACCCAAGAGCGTTGCATGAGAATTAAGCTTGCATTTTCCAAAATGAATTTAAGGTAGTTCATAAGTGAGTATTGATCGACACTGGTGATTTCTTTGCTTTTCAGAACATTGCATAAAGATCTAGAGATCAGCGACAGTGAAGACTGTGACGATGACCAAGTTAGTATCTTATCCTATCTTATCTATATCTATCTATCTATCTATCTATCTATCTATCTATCCATCCATCCGCCCGCCCGCCTGCCTACCTACCTATATCTATCTATCTTCTATCTGTCATTATGTCTGTCTGTCTATCTGTCTATCTACCTACCTACCTACCTACCTACCTACCTACCTACCTACCTACCTACCTACATCTATCTATCTATCTATCTATCTATCTATCTATCTATCATCTATCATCTATCTATCATCTATATCTGTCATTCTATCTATCTATCTATCTATCTATCTATCTATCTATCTATCTATTTAATCTACCTACCTACCTACCTACCTACCTACCTACCTACCTACCTACCTACCTACATCCATCCATCCATCCATCCATCCATCCATCCATCCATCCATCCATCCATCTATCTATCTATCTATCTATCTCTACCTATATCTATCTATCTATCTATCTATCTATCTATCTATCTATCTATCTATCTATTTATCTATCTATAATCTATCCATCCATCCATCCATCCATCTATCTACCTATCTATCTCTACCTATCTCTCTCTCTATCTCTTTCTCTCTTTCTGCCTGCCTCTCTCTCCCATATCTATCTATCTATCTATCTATCTATCTATCTATCTATCTATCTATCTATCTATCTATCTATCATCTGTCTGTCTACACACAGACACACACACCTATGAATCTGTCTTTCCCTAACCTTGTGTACAACTCACAGAATTCCTGGCCTTTGTGCTGGGCTAGCAAAGAATTTTGAGAGTTCTAATATAGTGCATCTGGAGGGCACATGGTTGGGGTAGATTAATCTTTATAATTCATAGACTGCATTTACATTTTTTTGTAGTTCATTTTCTGTATGGACTGGTTAAACTAAACTTTCTCTTTGTATTTCCCTTTTATCAGGTTTCTGATAAGCCGTCTTCCTCATCAACACCTCCAAGGTACAATTCCTTTATGTAGAATAAGAGGGAATTGTGAGGCCGGACGAGGGTGGGTGGGGGTGAGGTAAACATTCACTATGTGTAACTAGAAATTTCTGTAAAAGTTTCCAGAAGGTAGGAAAAGTTAAAAGAGATGAAATACTTGTAAGGCTGATTTGAAACCAACAGAAGTTATTAAAACTTGGAAACATACTGAGTGTTCCTTGACCTCAAGACTGTGTTAATAAGAAGGAGCATAATGATTATTTCCTTAATAACTCATTGAACATTCAGTTTGCAGAGGGAATAGTAAATATGATATGAAGTACCTGTTATGTATGCTAATATCAGATTCATGGAGGAAAATTAGGTAGTTTGAAACAATGTGTATTCAGAAATGTACTCATAATTTTCAGAGCAGTCTCAAATATTGGCTAAGTACTATATTTTTCGGAGTATAAGATGCAGCTTTTTCCCACAAAAAAGAGGGTGAAAATCTGGGTGTGTCTTATACACTGGATACAACATTTTTGGCCTCCCGAAACCCTGCCCCCTTCACAAAAATGGCTGGGAAGGACAAAAATGAGCGAACAATGGGCTGTTTTTAGCTTGTTTTTGCCCCCCCCCCAACCCCCAGGAGCACTCTATAAAGGCTATGCATGCACAGTAAAAGCTTCACGACTAAACTCTGAATCTGAGCTGGAGGGTATTTACCGGTATCTGTAAAAAATTGTTTCTGTTTACTGGAAACATAAACACTGTAAGTTTTGAGCAGCATCCTTCAGGATAAAAGTATTGATTCCAAATGCATATTATTTTTGGGCATATTTCCCAATAAGCTGTTTAAGCAACTGCTAATATTTCACTCCATGATGCTTGAACTTGACACTAGTAATTACCTTGTTCCTGAAGCTGTTGCATTCTTCAACTGTGGATCTGGAATTAGCAGAAAATTTGCCTTTAAGTGATGCAAAATCCACTAGTTTGGGCAAATTTTTTTTAAAAACCCTGTTCTTTAAACAAATACATTAGAAAAGTATATGCCTGCTTATAGTCCCCC